AGGTGAAAATGACCTCACGCAACTTCCAGATGAAATAGGTAACTATGTAACCACTCACTCAAGATTCACACAGCTTGACTCAGGGCTCAACACTTACGGTAGCCAGCTACTTGTAGACTAGTAGAAATTCAGTTTTGGCTAGAGTGATTTTCAATTTCCACTAGCCAGCTAGTAAACAAACTGAAATTGTCATAACATCTAGTAAGCTGTCATTAGCCACTTGGCTAGTAACTTGAAAAGTTAGTGTTAAGTCTTGTTGACTGTCAGTCAAATGAATGATGATATACTGTATTTCCTCTAATTAGGGCACTCACCTGAATAAGTGCCTACCCTGCCCTTAGGCCATAATATTGAACAAGTGCCCCTCTCAAGTAAGCACTCCTTCCCCCCTCATATTCTTGAAAGGGACTTTAAGCAAACCACGATGGCGACGGCAACTAGAACATGGAAAAACAATAGATCTAATTGGCAGAACGATAGCCCAGCACGTGCATTTTAAAACTTTGTACATTTCTTAGCCGTCCTTTCAAAACAACAACATGAAATCACCAAAATTTGCGTCATCTGTGAAGTGAAACCGTGGCGGCAAATTATTTTAGATTACATTTGGAACTCAACGCTACTTTTATGCCTTATGTTGAGTTTGAGGTCTGGCGTCCTATGAGACGGTAAACACATGCAGCCATTTTCGAAATTCTAACTAAAAGTAGAAACTCATTTTTTAATTGACGTCTTCTGTGGCGTTGCCGTCCTGACTGCTTAAAGTCCCTATTAAGGGATACAAGGAAAACCAATATATATTGCCACTTTATTTATGACTCTTTAAGCTTCAACTATAGTTGAATCTGAGTACAGGTTAAAAGTTTCCTTACAAGCACCCTCTATTAAGTGCCTTCCTTCTAAAAAGTGCCTGTCATTTTAGCCAAAATTTTACACGAGGGCCTAGGTACTCATTCAAGGAAATGTAGTAATTTAGATGAGACACAGTGTATCATTGATTAATGTTGTACTTTTTCTCTCTTTATTACCCTTTTTTTAGGTAAAATGGAATCCCTTGAGCAGCTGTATCTCAATGACAATGACAGCCTTCAGTCTCTTCCCTATGAACTTGCATTGTGCAATGCCTTGCAGATTATGAGCATTGAAAACTGCCCTCTGAGCAGTTTTCCAGCTGAAGTTGTTGCTGGTGGACCTTCATTAGTCATACAGGTATGTTGTTTTCTCAAAATGTGAACCTCACAATTTTCTGTTTTTAAATGTCTCTTCAATTTGAGTTGAAGGAATTTATCAACAACAAGAGTACCCCACTTTTTTTTTTCACAACAAATTTTCTATGTAAATAAACAATTTCAGCTTTTTAGTTATTTTTTACAAGCAAAAGAAAAAGGAAATAATCTAAATACCCCATGAGGAAGCAAACATTAGACTTTTGAACTTCTGTGATTTGATGTGTCACTACTGAATTAAAGAAAACTTGTAGTCAGTCTTCAACGAGTAGCAATAGAAAGTGACACACCTCCTCTTAGCAGGTGGTCAACAATTCTCCTCTCAACTTGCATCTTAACTCAGATTACTTGTAAGTGCCCCCCTCCCCACCCAAACAGTGGTACCTTGTGTTGCAATGAATCAGTGACCATTTTGTAACACTAAACAACCTTAAAGAGGAGGGGGGGGGATTGGGAGATAAATGAAATTAAAAGAAAAATTCAAAGAGTGGAGCATGACAATTTTTCATCCCTCATAGTTGACCACACCAGGTCTGTGAATGACAAGCATTAGACAGGGACAGAGAGACTTGTTCACTCCATTTGTGGTGAAAGGAGTCACTGATTGAAAGTCACAATGATTGCAAGTTAACAATTTGTTGTGACTGATGAAATGTTCGTTTTCTTTTAGTATCTCAGACTCCAAGGACCATACAGGGGAATGATGGCACAAGCTGGACTGGTACCCTCATCAGATGTCTGAGAGAACATTTTTATTTGCTTTTTCACTGATGTCATGTTCCTGGTAGTTTTTTAATTTTTTTTTTTTTTTTAAACTGATGTCCTAGGCCCTTGAAATTTTAAAGATCTGATTAAATTTTACAGTTCTTGCTGCAATTTTTTTAAATCAAACTAAGTAAAAAGAATGGGATGCTATGTTAACCCTTTCACTGCCATGAGTGACAAGACAGAATTTCTCTTTTACTATCTCAATATGATATCTATCAGACAAGTGATGAGAATAAAGAAAAATATCAATTAGGGGATAACTAGTTGATCCAGTAACAAATTCTCTGAACTAATGTCATGAGAATTGTATGGCAGACGGTAAGGAGAATTATTACCGAGATCTGGGGAGTGAAAGGGTAAAGAAAACATCTATCAACTAATAGTTATTGTGTCTTATCTGTTTGCTGGATAAAGATTAGACTTTAGTTAAGGGTATCGTGTGATTTCAATTCAGGAATAACAACATTAGGGATAGTTGAAGGAGCTTTCATAGCATCATAGCAAACTGTATTTGGATTGAAGGAACCGGGAAATAATTGCCCGCCATTCCTGGCAAATGCCAAAGATAAATGAGAGTGATTGAGGTTGGAAAAAAAAATCAATGTGGATTGCAAAACGATTAACTTTCAAAATTGTAACTTTAGTTATCATTTTGCTATGGAATGAGGTTAAATTTTTGTTCTGTTAGCACTCCCGCTTTCTCTTGCTACTCTACACAGATTCCTCCTGACCATGTTTTTAGCCAGTGGGAAGGGGTGGATTCAATTGTAAATTGAAGCTAGACATTTCTAGACGTTTTCTAATTCAGCCCAGGTACAACTTCTATATGCAACCTCCCCTGTGGAAATAATGTTGCTCTCTGATTTTGTTGGTTGCACTTAATTCACAAAACTGGGTGTGGTCATGATACATAAATTCGAGACCATTCCATATTTTGGTGATTTTTGTAGTGATATTTTTCAGAAGTCACAAACTGTGGTGTGGCTCCTTCAAGGGAAAGTTCTTGTGGTTGTCATTGTAAGTTATAGTAGATTTATATTGTTATTCAAGATTACTTGTTTTAGGAAGCTCTTACACATGGCCAGCAATCTATTTGAGTTTTACTGAGCTCCAACTAGTTTTAGAAGTTGTAGTTTTAATTTTGAACAAATTGATGTTACATCAGATCTTGGAGAGGTCAATTTAGGTATATTTTTTGGGCAGATTCTTCAGAAGCAATAGATTTTTGTAGCAGGAGGGGAGAGGTTTTAGGCCTTGAATACAGTCACTTTAAGGGTGGGGTACCCTCTCAAGACTTACAGTGGGGGTAATTATCTCATTACATACACCGAATGCAAATATGGCATCCAATTTGAATTGCCATTGTTCTGGACTGACTAGCCTCTCACACATGTAATAATCCACGTGTTTCATGTGTTTCCACGTGAAGACGAGGCTAGTCAGTCTAGAACAATGGCAATTAAAATTGGATGCCATATTTGCATTCGGTGTATACACAGGTAGATTTTATCAATGATAACTTATGGTTGTTGTACTAATTTAGGAAATACTGAATAGAAAATCAAAATAGAGAAAGGCAACCACAAGCTTGTGAATGGAAATTGGACAAGATTTGTTGAGTCATGGTACATTGTGCAACAAAACATATGACTGCAATTGTATGTAAGGTCCTAGGAACTCTGAGTTAAAATGAGTACTTTACTCAGCAAGCACAAATCTAGGAAAAGTTGGAAATTGTTTTCGGTACAAAATTTTTTGGATGATTTCCAAAGAAATTTGAAGTTACCAGAACGGTCTTTTATAAAATTAATGTGTATTCCCATCCGTGCAAGCCTTGCTGTCCGTGAAAATGTGATATTTATCACATTCAGACAAAGTATCAAAATTACTGTATCCATTTATCATTTGTTTCGATCATAGAGTTGACAATTTGATAATACAATCTACACTATGCATTTTCAATGAAGCTGATTTTGGTTCAATTTTCACCTGTTTACTGGAGAATTTAATATCTGTCACAATTCAGCATGGAGAAGAAAATTACTTGTTCATAAATTGAGTTGCTTGGAGGGAAAGTACTTCATGGCCAAAAGTCTCCAATCATTATTTTTTTTACTACTGTCTAATTTTGTTCAATTGTACAGTACTCGGTAGTAACTTTATTACAGAATAGTTGTATAACTGTGATTCCATCCATATATCTTTCACAAGTAAGCTGTTTTTATTTTAAGTACTACAGACTTTTGATTTCAGAACGTTCTTTCAGTAGTGGTCTGTGAGTATGTGCAAGTTAGAAGTTATTCAAAATTAGACTAAATTATCACAGTGCTTTTAATTATTGATTTTCATGAGGTTTAAGGTGGCTCACCAGAATGTTTTACTAGTACTTATGCTTTGTGGAAAAAAATTCCTAATCAAAGTTGTGCACTAGACCTATTCTTACCTTCATACTCCCGTAAAAACAACGTAAACACTTTTGTCTGTTTTTGCAAGTGCCAATAACTCAAAATTAACCTTGGTGGGTATGTATATTAGTCCTAATGAAGTGCAAGTACTGTTTCATTCTGTGTACAAAAGGGGAAGAAAGCACAACTAGCAAAGAATAAAGCCTGCAAGAAATAAGGCAAGAGTGCAAGGTACACATGCGACAAAAAACATGCCCTTTTTGTGGTGCGCGTTGTACTTTGACACTCACTGGCCACAAAAAACGTTTTTGTTTAATTTCCTAAAATCTTCAAAGGAAACACATTATTTTTGGTCTAATAGATTTACATCTAATGTAAGTATGGACAGCCTTTCAAAATAAGCCAGCAACAGCTCATGTTTCTGGTTTAAGGAGTGCTTGCTACACTCACAGAACACAAATAACATTTTCTTTAATTTCTTAAAATCTTCAGGGAAAATGCGAATTATTTTTGGTCTTTCTTATTTGCATGTAATGTAAGTATGGACAGCCTTTCAAAATAAGCCAGCTACACAGAAATAATCATGAGAAGAGTGCAGACATATTTCAATAGTCATTTATATATGTTCATATAAAGTTGACAAACTTTGTAATCAAATTAAAAAAATTCCTCTGGGAACATTGTCTCTGTTGTAAATGAGGTCGTTTGAAAATGAAATTCTTGGGTCTCACACAAATAAACCGATTTACATCATTCACCTTGAGTTCATCATTTTGGTGTCTACTCAAAAAATACCAAATACGTGGCAGTGATCCTGACTAACCCTAAACTTATGCATCCTAACAACTTTGCCCTGAACAAGGGTGGAATTCTAACCAAATCTCCAAGAGTCTCCCCTGGACCATCAGTGGGATACAGTCAAACCTGTATTATGCAGTCCCCCACCATCCTTCCTAATACATTTTTGCAACCCGCCTACCTGGTATGTTGATTTTGTAGTGGCAATAGTTAATTGTTTCCTTCAGGTGTTCTGTTTTTGTTTTCCTCAGCCAATCTAGTTGACATATGGAAACACAAAACCCCTGATTGCTACAAACTTCAAAGGCCCTAAAAGTTGTCAGTTGTAAGTGAACATGATCAAAATTTTTGCTCAAACAGATAAGATTGTTTTAATTTACAACTGAGACTCGTACTCATCAAGGAAAAGAATACTTCTGGAAAAGATTGAAAGATCGACACTCAAACCAAACTGTTAACCCCTGACCAAGTAATTTGATTATAGACCAAATTAGACAACACATCAAGTTATCTCCGGGGTATGCGAATCTGTTGATGGTTTAACACACGCTGTTGTGCCTTTTTCTTGACCATCTGTAGTCTTTTTAATGCAGAATGCTGCATTGCAGCAACATTCTGTGAAGAAGTTGCCCCACTGCTTACAGATAGCTTGCTGGCCCCAGCTGATGATGATGAGGCTGTGCTCAGAGCTGGAATGGCAAACGACTGGTGCATAGTGGGAGAAGAAACAGGCTGAAACAAAACATTAAAAACCAACTTCACCCTTACAATGTGAGACATGCACTGGCATAGTGCTGGAATTACTGAAAAAAAACTCACTCCCAAAAACCAAATTGTTTTTACATAAAAGTGCATTGAAGTATACATTGTTTGTTTACCTTAGTATCATTAATAGCAAAATAAATTGTTTGTTTACCTTAGTATCATTAATAGAAGGTCTCTTGAAGGGAGCCAAAGGAATAGGTCTGTGAGAGGAAGTCTGTGGTTTACTGAATGTTGCAGACTCTGTCTGTCGTGATTTAGGAGATGCACTGCTTGCCTGCAGAGATAATTTGATAAAATAATAATAATTGATAAAATAATAAATAATTGATAAAATAATAAATAATTGATAAAATAATAAATAATTGATAAAATAATACTAATTGATAAAATAATAAATAATTGATAAAATAATAAAGTATGAAGTACTGTGAAATTTGGCCATGATTACAACAAAGTATATTACATAGAAGAGATCTGTTTGATTTTTTTAATTAATATTGTATCAGGAGTATCAAAGAGACATGACGTGATCACCCTGCTGAGAGAACTCTTGAAATGGAATGTTCTCTGTGATGGCAACCATTACCCTTAACTCCCATGGGTGACCAAGACAGAATTTCTCCTTACAATATCAAGACAAGATCAAGCAGATAAGTGATGAGAATAAACAAAAATATCAATAAGGGAATTGTTAGTTGATCCAATACCAAATTCCCTGAACTAGCATCATAAGAATTAGATGGTAGACAACAGGAAGAATTATGAAATAAATGAGATCTTGAGAGTGAAAAAGCTTCTTGAATTTACCATCCAACAACTTTGCTAACGATTTTAACTTGTTTACTAAGCAAATGTTACACAATGTGAGAAGCAAAAACTGGTGAAAAAACTCAGACAAAAGATTTGGTAACAAAATTATCATAGATGAGACATACCATCTCTCTCATTCTCCTCACACATTGTGCGCAATACCACACGTGCCGTGGATCATTGACTTCACTGTCCATAACACGTGGTTCATGGCACCTCTGTAAAAAAAAAAAAAAAAACGGATATCAATATTGATAAGAAAACAGTTAAAATTACTGAGAATGGCATAGTGTTAATGTCTAATTGAATTAATTTGACTTCTTCATTTATTAGTAACTGAATATCCTCTGTTGTTGCAGTGACCTTTACCTGGTGATACAGTGAATGACATTCATGACATTCTACCAACTGATTCCCAAGAATTTTGCTCTCATCTCTGAACACAAAGAAAAACAACATTTAATAGTACATTCATGTAGTAAATTAATTATGTTTTTTTTTTTTTAACTGACAGTAGCAATTGAACAATTTGAAACCATGGCCAAGTTTCCAACTCACAAGTAAACCCATTCACACTGCCTGGTTCTGCTTTTTATAAGTGACAGCTGCACAAATATTATGTCTCGATTCATTCATCATTTGTATAAAAATTCAGATCATGTTTACTATAGGTGCTCTCAACTGACATACTGGTCAAAGTATCGGTTGAGAGTTGGTCGAGAGTTGGTCGAGAGTCAGTTGATACTCTGACAGTATGTTGGTTGACACTTGGTCAACAAGGCACTGTCAATAGTTGGTTGATATCACTCACTATCGACCAACTCTCAAATGATATATCAGTCAAGAGCACCTACAGTAAACATGATCCAAGAACTCTTCTTCAAATATTAGTTTTATGCAGCATTCTGTAAATAGGCAGGTATACTTGATAACTGCCAAATAGCACCAACCACTTGGGTTTTGAGTTCTTCAGTCACAAACAGTGTTATATGAAAACAAAGATTCATCTTGATCATTTTTTTTTTATTGCTGCCAAAGATTCAACAAATGGAAGGTAAACTGACTAAAAGATGGATGAATAGAACAACAGTCAGATGCTTTACCAAACAGACTGAATTACCAACTGACTGATGGATGGATGGATAGACAGACAAACTTCTTAATGACTCACTGGCTGACAGAGGGACAGTTTTAGAGCTAACAATGACAATCAATTCAAATTAATTAAAAGAAAAACTAACCTACAACAAATACTGCAAACAGATCCCCAGTCAATCATTAGGTCATCAACCACAGGTTGCAAAGCCGTCGGAGATTCTAAATCTCCCTCATCTAGAACATCCTCCACATCAAATTGAAGCTTGGCTTTCTTTGATGAACTCTGATCCATGAAGGAGCTTGAACTTAGCTCTACAGTTTCAATCATGCTCGAGCCAACTTCCAATGTTTCAACATTGGCTTCTTCAATAGGAAAACTCTTGGTTGGCTCTGCTTTAACAGATGGATTACTCTGCTTTGGTTCAGACTCTTGTTTCTTCTCGGTCAATTTGGCTTTCACTTCAGCAGTTGAAACTATTGCACTTGGTCTCCTCTCAGTGTGAAGTCCCAATTTAACTTCTTTAGGTTTCTCCTTGTTGACAAAAAAGGAAAATCATGGTAAAACTGGTTCTTTAAGGCTAGTCATTATAATTGTGCCTTGCACCCACCATTCTATTGGTTTGTTTCCCCCAGTGCTGTTAGTTGCACTTAATTAAGGTCATAAAGACAATTTTGTTACCTGGTTCAGTTTATCAGCTAAAAACTTTGCCAATGACAGAAAAGATAAATTTTTCTGAGTATATAATTATAGTCGAGGTATATTCATTTTAAATCCAAACAGCATGCATGGAATACACTTTTATGCTTGTGTACCATGATTGAAATATTTTGGCCCAAGCTGACAACGCCAGAGTGATACAGTGAAAGTATGTATTTCTGCAACTGGCACAGTGGGGTCCTGTTAGAAATTTGTTACAATCATGACATTTACCACGCCGAGATCCCTTTGTAAAGTATTCCCCCTAATTGTTTAGCAAGCACGTTTATTTATCAATAACAATAAATCCTTATTCCCCTGGCTCCGCAGATAGCAGTGCTAATCGAGGCGGGCCAGGTCACAAAGCAAGCTCTTGCTCTTGTAAAACATGTAGACAGCTGATAGATGTTTTACCAAAATTACACTCACTGAATCATTCAGTGACATTGAATGATGATATTCATGTGATTCGATTTTCATTCAATCACGTGAAAGACAAGGACAGTTTAATTTGTTCTATTTTTTGAAATGAGCTGTTAATTGTTCACGGTAGCACGAAATTAGCAATACTACATCAATAAAATGAGAAAAATTGTTTACTTTGTTTTAACATTAATAATTCATTGACCATTATCGCCGACGTTGTTTTGCTTTAATAGCACTTGTTTCGCACTTGCATTAATAGCTTCCTTAGGTTTGAAAGTGTCTAGCCTGCTGACAACCAGAATACCCAGATAATTTTGGCTTTCCAACCGAAGACATGTTCGATCCTGTTTGCTTTCAGCTCGCAGGAATATGAGAAATAACATTAAGGTTTGTGCTTGTATTTCGTACCTTGGAAGACGTGGGAGCTTGCTGGCTGTGCTGTCTGACGAATTCATCTCTAAGGGTACGAAGCTGATCCAGAGAATCAGGGTGCTTTGAGTGAAGAAGCTTCAAAGCCTTGATAAACACAGGATCTATTTCGACCGAGTTACTAGCGGTCGCCATCTTGATTCTTTGTTCCATGTTAGTGCCCAGTCTACCCATCGAACCCAACATGTCGGCCATGATAGGTGAAGAAATCTTGAACGCCGGCGGACAAACGCAGAAATCAGAAGTTTCTGCGGTTGAACTCTCTAAGCAACTTCAGAAGCTTATGTTAAAGATTGAGGGGAGTTTTATAACAAATGAAGGCCGGGCAGTTGATTACAATGCGTTGAAAGACAGCGCTTTGTTTAAGGAGTATGTGGAAGGAACTCAAGCACTGAAAACAGTGAATCTGGAAAGTTTAGATGGGGCGGAGAAGATAGCCTTCTTTTTAAGTATCCTTTCACTGTGTGGTTTGATTGCTCCCTGTTTTAACAAGCACAAACTTGAACAACTTCAATGTGTGCCATTGTTGGGTGTGAGGGTAGGTGTCCCGAAGCAGGACCAGAGCCTGGTACAGGTGTGGGAAATAACCTTGGTCTGTTAGGGACCTTGCGGTGGTGCGAGAGGGGGTTCTAAATTGGCCAATTCATTGTGAGAACACATCTTCACCAAAATTTGACTTAAAAACCTATATCATGTCAAATTATTTGGCTTCTCCTCTTTCGTAGCAGGGAGAGAGTTCCATATAACCTCATACATTAATTATGCATTCCTTTTCATAACGACCAAATATAAAGGTTTCTTTGCAACACTCTATGCATAATTAATGTCTGGGGTTATATGGTACTCTTGCCTGTTGCTTTCATCTCTTTTTTTCTTGCAAGACACCTTCCTTTTATAAATTGTAATGCAAATTGAAGTTGGGCATGATGATTATAAGTGCAATGATTTTCAGGTTATTGAGTTAAGTTAGGTGGATTCAACAGTGTAACCAATAACAAGATCCTTAATAATTTATAGATATTTATAATTCATTAACAATTCATGGCTTAGCAATGTGCAAGAGTGGGTTACCTAATTCAGTGCTGGAGATCAAGAGTTTTTGGAGAAAAACATCATATGACATTGGTGGCCAGAAATTTTCTCTTGATGACATTGAACATGGAATTCTTAGAGGTATGGATGGATGACTTTACATACCAGACCTTGCAGTTTTCTCCTATCTCACAATGCTGGGGAGAAATTGTAAATTAGCAATTTTCCTCTTTCCTTAAGATGGTGGAGAGAGGGAGATGGATGCCAGGTCAAGACCTCTGGTTAATTGAGGGTCTTGGCTTGTGTTCTTGGATAAAATTGTTTACCTTCAGTGCCCATCCTCATGCACCCAGAGGGTCCCAGGAGTAAACGTGTAGGGGAGTAACCAGGGATGAACTGGGATCCCATGGAAGGAGAGTAACAATTTTCCTAGATAACCAACAGATGCTGTGGCAATGTGGACCACCAGGCTCAAGAGCAGCCTTCTGTCTTTTTCAATCTCAGGTGCACAGGTACACAGCACAAGCAAAGACTGAATTTACTCCATTTAGAATTAAATTCATTTATTTAATACCCAGCTGAGTTAGTTGGTGAAGCTCCTATTCTGAGACCAAAATATTTACGATTAATTGAAATGAGGATGATAAACCAAAGACCTTGTCTCCTGAATCTTCTCTTGACTGGTTAGCAAGGAACATAAAAGAACCCGTGTACTTCTCGAAATGGGTATGGAATGTAGCTCATGGTATTGTGATCTGGCCTTGTTATTGTTTGTACAAGTCCCCATTTAGACCAGCTGAAAAGCTGAACTGGGCCAGGTTGTCTAAATATTGCAAAGACTCCCTATAGTACCAGTCTTGGAATGCAACATTTCTCTCTTGTTAAGGTAACAGACCACACCCAGCAGATGGAAAGTCCTTATTCACAGAAGATGATTCTCGCCTTGAGTTCACTGTCAAAGAAGTCGATCCCAGGATACATTTTGCTTTGGTTTGTGGTGCAAAGGTATGATTTTATGATTATTGATTCATTTCAAAATATTTATTACACTGAGTAGTGGATGATATTTGCATTATTTATATAATACAATTTTTCAAAGCCTTCTAGTTTCAAAATGTAACAGATTTTTGTGTGAATATTGCAGTCTTGTCCTGCTATCAGAGTATTCTCAGGAGAAAACCTTGAACGAGGACTTGATGCAGCAGCAAAGAACTTTTGTTCTCAAGAAGTTCAGGTTGATAATAACAAGGTACAACAAGATTATTTTGATATCTCTTTACTGTCAGAAGTTAGCCACACCCACCCTAAAGGATGAGCATTGTAAATTCAAACAAGAGGGTGTATGTTCTGAAGCAAAAAGTTTTGCCAGGTTTTCAAAGATACCAATCCTTAAAGGGAAAGACAGCTCTGATATAGATTATGCCTGTGTTGGAATTTTGCGACGGGATTCAGGTATCGAAGAGAAGAATTTCTAGCTGGAAAATTTTCTTTGTTTATCAGAAGGTTGAAGCTGTGCCTGGTATGCTGTTTTATTCTTTTTTATTCTATTTTTTATTTCTTTTTTATTCTATTTTTTATTCTATTTTTTATTCTATTTTATTCTTTTTTATTCTGTTTTATTCTATTTTATTCTTAGAACACACAAAAACAACATTTTTACAGCATATTAACTAGACTGAGAATTCAGTTATCTGGCTCTCTTTGGTACTCTCTCAGGTCTCACGCCAGAAGGTGGTTTTAGAACCTGTTATCTGGACATGTCAAGAAAACAAACTGATTTTGGACAAATGTATCTGAAATGGGAGTCATCCAATAGATCCACTCTATTTTAAATATATCTTCTAATCATTTGTAATTTAATTCTTAAGGTAACCCTCTCAAGAATATTTCTATGGTACAAGACAGATTTTGGTTCAACAGAAAGAGAATGTTTGAGGTATAAGGTACTTTATTTTTGGTAACAAATGTAAATTTGGAGTGTAGACCTTGCACAATTTTCATTTCTTTTCTTTTTCTTTGTTTGATAAATTTAGCTGGATTTCTCATCATCTGGGCAAAGATGAACAGCAGAAACTAAACAGTTTGTTGGAAGTTGCAGATAGTGACAGTTCAATAAATATTACCTATAGTGAATATAACTGGAATCTTAATGGATCAAAACTGTGAAATTGATACTGATTTGAAGACAGAACATAAGTTAAACACTGAAGAAGTATTAATTTTGTAAAAGTTAAGAATTTATATTTTTTAATTTGAAGTTCACACACAATCCCATACACGTTCCTGCCTAGTAACACTGATTGTGATTTTGGACCACACTTATAAGTAAACTAAAATGAACAAAATAATTATTTTATCAATTGATGACCAAGTGTCTATACCATAAACATTTTTTGTGAAGCAAGGGCATCAGCCATTTTTCATTAGAAGACTAAATTTGCCTTAAACTTTATCTGTGTAAAACACACTTTCAGGGTGTCATGTTCGTAACAAAACCATGTAATGTATATCCAATTTTTCTCCAGAAGGGCCTGCATATATGAGCTGAATGTTATTTAGTATATTAAAACTCCAATATGATAATGCATAAGTGTAACATACTATGGGTAGGAGGTCATTTTGATGTGCTCTGAGCCCTTTAAAAGGGACGAAAACATGCACGAAGTGATGATTATTTGCAGTGATAAGTCCTTCAAAGTAAATTTCTGCTCAGTGGCTATTGTCAAAATTTGGGAGTGTTGACAAAGTTAATAAAGTTTTTTTGGTTACAATGAATATATGAAGTTCATATATTTTGAACTGCAGTTGTAGATACGTCTGATGCACGATCCTCGCAGTAGAGAGCGCTATTGCTATTTATGCAATAGCGAAAATCAGACCTGAAAAAAATCAGGCCTGTACGGGATTCAAACCACTGACCTCTACGATACTAGTGCAAAGTTAATAAGAGTTAATAAAGTTAAACAAAGTTAATAAAGTTTTTTTCAGACTGTAGAAAGACAAGCAATTCACATTTTTGATTAATTTAACCAAAAATGAAAGGTCCAATTTTAGGAAATGAAGACTTCGAGGAGGATGAACTTGAGACTTGGTGTGTATTATGAATATTCTCTTCAATTACATCTTTCTCAGTATCTTTGGGTGTGTCTGTCCTCTGATGTCTAATTTGAGAGGCTACACTACTACTGGAATGGTTGGATGGAGTTATACAAGCCTGGAACTTGCTGTTCTTGGGAAAGACCACTTGCCGCACTCTCTTCATCAACACATCAGCAATACTTTGGCTGCGTAGGCTTGTGCCAGAAATTGAGGAGATTGGGCTTCTTGTGGGACTAACTTCCATGCTCTTTTCTAGAGAAAAACTTGGTGATTCACCATAGTCACTGGACATGTGGCTTACTGTTTGGTTACAAATGAGCGGTTTAGGTGATATGATTCGAAGAAATTCCTTCCCTCTAAATGCTGTTTTTCTAGTGATTTTCCTGTCATACTGTGGATACATTTGAGAAGAAAAGAACAATGATTTGGATTATATCTTTCAATCGATATCTGATGAAAAACTTACATAAGATGTTAGGGTTGATGGAAGTGAAAAAATTAACCATTACAAAAAATGTCTGTAAATGATTTGGTTCCTGATTTATTTGTTTGTTTCCTTTTCTCGGCTAGTTCGGACTTTTTAGCAAACTAGTTTTGCCTCACGTTTTGATATGTCACTCACCTATTAAAAAAAATGTCTGTGAACTTTTGATGAACACAAGACAAGGAAAAAGAATAAATTCTAAAGTTTAATTTGAAAATTTTTTCGTTCGGCTGGTAAAATAAAATGGTGGTGAATTTTAAAGTAGTCCTGAAAGTCGTACAAATGTGTGCGCTAAGGCTTCGCGCATTGGTAAAAAGTTTATGTCGGAGGTAAATCCTGAGATTAAATTTCTTCGCGTGTGACAGACCAACATATTATTTCCTATCTGAGAAAAATCCTCCTTGACGGATATTTGTTATGCGACTTACTTTTACAGGCAAAATGTTATACTTACAGGCATATCAGAGCTATCTCGGTTCCACTGCGCAGCAGGCTTCGTCCCAACACTTTTAACTCTCGTCTTTAAAAAACAAAAGACGTCACACACCAAATCATTGAAAGAGAGCTCAGAAAATAGAGCATATGACCAAAAGCAAAGGTTTTTGTGTAAACTCTTCTTACCTTTGAGCTCTGACTGATGCTACGACCTTTAAGTACAAGCCGAGGTGAATCTGTCGAACTTTGTAGTTGGAGTTGGACTGTCTTCAATTTTCCTGCTGTACATTCTATTTTAATTCCATCTTTCTTATATACTTCATTAATTGGCTCTGAAGCAACATTCTCTTTGCGCACCGGAGCAATCTGTTGAAATTCTAAAGTGGTAACAGATTTCAATTCCTTACCCTCATTGAATTTCTCTTCGACTGTCAACTTTGCGTTTGGTTTCGCTTTGATTTTACCTCGGTTTAGAGCCGCAGTATTGCAATTTAGAGTTGCTTTTATAGGCGTACTTTGATCTGGTCG